TGATATCATCGCAAAAGCCGAACCGGATTGCCGTTTTCAGGGGGCAACAGTAAAGCCAAGTAATGTAACACCCGAATAAGTGAGGATCCCAACTAAATGGCAACTTTTGCGCGGCAAGTTGAGCATTCAACAATTTAATTAAAATGAAATTTCCGAATCACATTCTGGGTGCCGCAGGAGCGGGGAATAACTGATCTTGGCAGCAGGTTGATCGTGATTGCGAGACTTGCCGCCAAAGCCTTGCACCTCCGATATTCCACGGGGCTAAACCGAACCACTTCCCCAACCGCTGACGATGATCAATGATCGCTGAGCCGACCGACGAGTCCCCAGATCTCGATCTCAGGCATCCTCACCGGATTCGAGTTTACTATGGCATATATATATGTACATATAGATATATATATATAATAGTATGTAATGCGCCATGCATTACGTGTATCTGGCGTTGTCATCGTGCCAGTTTACCCGCATATTATTAATTGGATAGCCATAGTTGCGATCTCCGCTAGAATTTATGTGTTAATTTGTCTCGCCGCCAACTGTTGATTTATTTCAGCCTGCTCTGCTCTGCTTTTTATGCCTTTTAGCTGGCTTCTTGTGATTATTGCCCGGCTATCCTCTTATCAGACCGTTGTGACCATTAGCGGAGGGCCGCGGCAATTTGTTGGCCGCCTGCCAGACGACCGGCGACATAATCATTGCCCCGCTGCCGCTGCAATTTGTATTGTTCGCATAATTAAATTGACGCTTGACATTCCAGCCAGGCCAACTCTGGTCCACTCCACTGACATTGACACGCGCAGACTCCACACTGGCGAAAATGCAACCCTGAAATACTAGAAAATCAAGGGTAAATCATTACAAAATCTTAAGAGCACATAGCAATACTTGGTCCTTCGAGCCGGATCTCGAATTAAGCGGCAACAAGACTGCCTGACTTTTCCCAAATATTTTACCTCCCGTTAAGACTAATTGTTTTCTATATTCTTACTTATTTTAATAACAGCCAGAAGAGAATACAAACATCGCCTAGGATCTCTAGAATTTTGGTATGTAAAACCACTTAACCAGACCACCACACTTAATTCACATGCTAATTTCATTCTCAAGCACTCAACCTTCAGTTCTTAATTCTTCTGCCTTCCGTATTTATTTTCAGTGCCCCGGCTGCAACTTATTCGATCGCAACTCCATCTGCGACTCCGTCTAGTTGGTATAATTAGCGTCGATTAAACACTTGTCGGTCCCACCCAGCTGCGGTTGAGAACAAAAGCATTTTATTGCTTTTGTCGGCCGGCTCTTTTGCTATTTTGCTACTCTGGCAGTATGCTTTTGCTACTCTGCTGGCCTGCTAGTCTGCTTTTGCTATTTCGCATCGGACCCAATGGAATTTGTCAAGCGCAAGGACACATTGCTGTGGGCAATTAGGCGCCCGCCGCTCCTCCATTCAATGGCAATTGTTGTCAGGCTTGTTTGATTAGTCTGTAATTGGTGGTGGACGGATCGGGTTCTTCTGGCCAGCGATGCGGCGACCCAAGATCGATCGCCGTAAATACTTAATTATGAATTTATTGATTTTAATGAACATTATCAATTTGCCATATGGAAAATGGGCACCTCGGACAGGACAGGAGACAAAGCATTTCAACAAAATATTAATCAAGTGTGTGGCGCGATCAAGGTCGCCATCCATGGCGCATAATGACAGGCTGCAACTGCCGATCTTCTTCGATCTGCGATCTTCGAACTGGAACTGCAACTCGGAACGATCTTTCGTTTATGCGATCGCATGCACAGGGAGAAAATATATCAACTATTCTACCATATTTTGACCAACTACCCAGTATGTATGGTATATCCAATATCATAATAGAAACATATACTTTTCTGTGTACTCTGTTAGTTTGCTGGCGGCCATAGATTGCAGTCCATCAGCGACATTAGTGATTTTTAGTAGACCGATGATCGCTGTCGGTGTAGCGCATTAATAGAAGATAACCACCGATCAATTTACCCCTCAAAGCTATACAATTAGGCTACCGAATGGGTGGGAAAAGGGGCTGGAGCTTTAAATACCCCTGTGGATAGATCCTTTCGATGGCAGATAAGGTGTAGAACTCAAAACGACAGTATAAGACAATGTGCTTATTTCAATTACCAGCAAAAGTACTTATTAGCAACCTCAATCTTGGTATTTTCAAGTTAAAACCCTTAGGGCTCGTAAAGTTTTCCCCACTTCTTTATGGATTTTCTGTTTTTTGGCTGATATTGAGATAGAGAGTGGGTGATCTACAATCTTCAACAAGTTCCCCTCCAAGTGTCACTATAGATCAGTGGTCGGCAGCGGCCTATCTAGTGAGCATAGAGAAGTGTTCTGCCCATCCTCTGCTCGCTCACGCACAGCGTACGTGTTCGTGTGACTTCGGCATGGGTCTTCGGGTCATTTTTTTCTCAACTTCGGCTCGCTTTTTTGTTGCTGCGGCAGAGGATCTCAGTGCAAAGCAGAGAAACGTCTCGCTTCAGCACGCCGCGCGCAAACTTCGTGTTTGTTACACTCACACTAATGCAAGGCAAACTTGTGATGGTATGTGTGTGCCGACCACTGCTATAGATCGATATGCCCCGACGAAAGCTGAGCAAACACACAAGGACTAGAGCAAGGATGTGCAAACAAATAGACAAACACGAGCTCGAGTATATGTATCTTTGGGTCTGCGGTGTATCTGTGAGGTAGCCAAGGACACACACGCGTGTCCTCGACAAGCTGCAACTGCAACAGGAAGACGTGCCAATGTGCAACGCGTGCGCCTGTCTAGAGTGATAAGGCCTGCTCAAACACACAATCGCCCATATGTGTGTATATATAGAAGACACTCAGCCGAAGGACACGAAGAAAATATTAATTTACACTAGGCAGAATGTCAGCTGCCCGCTGCTGGCATAAAAAGGGTACAAAACCCGAAGAAGGCATGTGTACACTGGAAAGAAAATGCTTGTGAAATGAAGAAAATCGACCAAGATGAAAACAGATGAAAGTTACACTCTTGCAATTCTTTTGTTTATTATTCAAAAAGTACGTATTTTCTTATATTGAGAAATATTTTTTTGTATATCTATTAAAAATAAGTTCAAAATTAACTTGGCATTTTGTAAAAAGAAGTAGAACAGCCTCTTCTATGTTGCCTTAGAACCCTTTTTTCCAGTGTTCTGGAGTGGGTCTGCCAAAGACACAAAATCAGAATGCATCTGCAGTCCTGGCACGCACGCCAAAAAATAAATATGAGAACCAGCCATTTGCTAACCCCATCGCACACACACCTTGCACACCTTTTCGGGAACCTTTAACCTTCAACAGTGACATAAGAGTCGCATCGCCGGAGAACGGGAACTACTTATCTATGTATATATCAGCGGGATCGGGGAAACGGAATCGAAATCAAGGAGCAAATGCCAGTTGACAAAAAACGCCCCCGACATGTGCAACGATTTTTGCAGCTTGCAGCGATTAGGAATCTGAATCTAAATTTTGAACAGAAGCAGATCGATCGGTTCAACAGGAAGGAAAAAAGGGGTTATTCCTTGGATTCCGTTCGCTGCAATATGCTGATGGCAACATTGTTGCGGCACAAGGTGATAAAAGATAGATGGGTTGGTGGAGGTAGGCGAGATCAAATTGAACAAGCACAGCCATGAATACCCTATAATTTGGAAAAACAGTAAAGTATTTATTTTTAATGCTTGAAATCGTGTCAACTAGTCTCATTAAAGATATTTGCAAGAAACTCTTGTTAAACGGGTTTTGGTATCCACATATTTATGGACTTTTCGTCGCTTTACAAAAACATTTTGGGCAGAAAGTTGATTGTTTTTATTAAGGTGGAATTACATAGTTATGGGGTTACCTATATTTTTTACATAGGTATTCAAAAAAATTACGTTTTCGTATATTTTATATTTTTATGCCCATTGTTGGCGATATTCTTAAGTAGGGATGTGATTTTTTCTGCACGACAAACTGGATAGAGTGTAAAGAGCCTTTAACATGATTAAAATTAGTCTCTTAACATTAAAGCAGTGGCGCTTACAATGCGATGCACTAAGAACGACGGCTTGCAAAAGACCGCTTGCTTTTTGTCCCGATTATGGGAAAAAGGAAGAAAAGAGTTCATCGAATGGAAACGATTTCATCACTTGCAAAGTAATAGGGAAACAATGCACTTAGACTGTGGTTATTTGATGATGCAAATTACATATCCAAATAAAAAACAAACTTTTATTGTATTGTGTGCCAAACGCTGCTTTAAATTTAACTGCGTGGAACTTTCTAAAACGTGGTCTCACTATTCCAAGCAGTGTTGCAGTGGTTTCGTCGCTTTATGGTCAATTTTAGGAACAAACGTTTGGATATTTAATATATTTTCACTTGGCTGGTAGGGGTACCAAATAAATAAAAAAGTTAATAACAAGATACAAAAGTTAAATTTTTAAGTTTTTAGTGTTGGTTTTTAACACAGACAAAATTAAATTCGATGTATAATTTATCTCGAGAAATGCGTTTGTTTTAGTGAAAATTCATGGATGAAATTGAGCATATGGGGAAAAAAAGTGGGAACAAGTAGTATGTTGTTATGTAGTAATGTTTTTCCTATATTCAATTTTTTTGTATTTAGCTTTTTGTTCTGAAACTAGGAGCCGAAAATATAGATTAATTTGAGTTTTATTTTTAAAAGATTTTTAACTTTGGTTCACATTGGTTATATACACTGGTCGTATTGCAAAGAAACCAAAACTTACTTTACTGTTTTTTACAATGTGTCTATTAAAAAGCCAAATTGAATAGAACACACAAAACACAGTAGTACAACTTAAAAAATAAAATCACAATATGTGATTATTGTTGATCCCTGGATTTATCTTTATTAGAGTTAGGCTAGCCCTGGAAAATTAGTGAAGTTCTAAAAAATACCAAGCTTCTCAGTAGCCCTGGGTAAAGGAAACCACGTGTCAGTTTTTGCACAAGTTCAAAACTTCTTTCTTTTCCGAGACGCTGTTCCAGTAAGTTCTATTCTGACTAGCTCAATAGAAAATTAAATTTTTTTCTTGTTAGCTTTCAGAGTGAATTCCGTAAGTGAAGAAAAACGCAGCAGAATGAGTGCCAGACCAAACTACGCCGGGCCACGCCGCTCCCATACTACGGAGAAGTTCAAGGACCACGAGTTCCTGCTGGAGAAACTGGCCTATCAAAAAGCCAAGATCGAGAAGCTATCCGTAAAGTTGACAAAGCTCAAGAAAAAGGTGATTCAGCAGAACCTTCATCGCATACAACTCGAAAAGGAGATGAAAAAATTAACAGGAAATTCGGTGTTAATAAGAAACTGCCTGCTGTGCGATAAGACTTGGAAGGCATCGGGCCAGCATCGCGTTGCGGTCTTGAAATGTGGGCATACATTCGGAAACAATTGCATCAAGAAGTTTGTGGCTGTCTATCAGATGTGTCCCGGCTGTGAAAAGCCAGCCAAAACCGAAGACGTGCACTTCATCAACGGCCTTTGAGTCCACCACTAAAAAGTACTGTCATCGGACTAGAATGACACTACACCACCACGTCGGAAGTTACCAGAAGAAATGTAAAAAAACCAAAAGCTTTACTAAACCAATAAACCAACTAATGGGAATCTAATTCCGCCCTATTTGTTGTGTAACATTTATTTATTAACATCTATACCGGGATATATAGGTAGTATTATTTCAGAACGTAACCCCAAAACAGCATATTTTCTTGCTTTCTGTCCTGTCCTGGCCTATCCCATATAGATATCCATAATACCCCCAGTTAGAGTAGTGGAACTTCTTTCAGCTTGCTGTTAATAGACGAAGCTCCATAAACTCTTGCTTTTCGGTCCAGTTCAGTTCATCCCGCATTTATGGAACGCTCGAGATGACTAGATGCATTTGTCATAATTGCCCAGGGGACTCGAGGAGGTGAAACGAAGGCGGTTTTATGCGGCGGTCTTGCTGTGGTCTCTCGGTGGTCTGATTCTGATCCACTGGGATCTCTGGGATTTGCATTACGCGCAGCCGCAAATGATGCAAATTTCCTTAGAGATTGCCGCTGAGATTAAGCAGGAGATCCTGGCGGCTTAGCCGCAACTAAATGCGGCTTAAACAATGTTCTTAGGCGTGAGATTTTCATTACGATCTGTTTTCTCTGCTTTCAGGTTTTGCTTGGTCTCTGGCCTTCATACATACTCCATCCATTTCCTATAAGTATATGGTATATGTGTTGTCGGCGAAATTTCAAAACCCGCTTCCCGGGAAAAACGGAGGCTGAGGGAACAACACAAGAAGAAACACAATGATTGGTAGATTTTCCAGCGGGTTTTCCATGGCAGGTCAGGTCCTTTTATGTCCGTCTGTCAGGATATGTGCGTGTCTGCGGATTTGTTTGCATGCAAAACAGTTTGCAGACGTGTGTGTACATGAAACCCGAAACCCTGACCACAAAAGTCAGTCCACAGATCCAGAATTCCGAATCCAGATCTCCAGAATGAAGAACCTCACCTTCGGGGGGTACAACGTATATATATACCTGATGAATTATTCCCAAAGGAATAAGAAATAAGCAGCTCCAAATGGCCGCGGGACATTCTGGGCTGGCTGCCAAAATAATTAAGTCGTTTGCTCCGACAATTAAATAATTCTGAAAATCGCTTCGCAAACGTTCAGAACTTTCTGTGGCTCCCTGTTTTTAGTTTCTCGTCCCTCGAAATACCTTGCGAAATTTGTTTAATTGCGTTTTGGCTGCGAGCGACAGTTTAACATACGAGATTCGAGATGCGGCGTGCAGCGTGAGAAAAATGCATAATTTTTGTAATGTGATTTCGTTTTGGGTGCCGGGTGCCAACCCATCGCACATTCATCATGGATCACGCAAGACAGTGGCTTAAAATATACCTGTCATACCTATACCAGATGGATAAAAAATGTAAGAGGTCATAGAAACTCGTACTTCATTTTATTTATATTAAAATATTCATTGGTATATTTCTAAACCATACATATTTCTATTTTCTAAAGACAAGGAGTTGTATATTCAATATTTAGTTAAGAATCCAATCTATATATTTTATATTATATTATATCATCTATGTCATATCTTATCATATATTAATTTCATATCATGTAAGTTGAGAAATAATTCATAACTACAAATGAGTAATTCCTATGTTATTTTCAGGATCACAAAAGTAATGCGATAATCCCCTCGATTTGGAACCACTGTGACGTGTGGCGCTGGCTTTCACTGTTTCACCGGCGTTGGCAGTCGGCGACTACTGTGCCACGCCCCCCATACTTTCGGCACAAAGGCGGTAGCATAATTACACTTTTGTTTTACATTCGGCCAGGCGGTGAATTCCAGGAGCTGAGCTGTCCACGTCCACATCCGAATATCCCACAATTCCCAGTTGCCAGCTGGCCAAGACTTTTTGCCCAGCCTCGGGCGTGAGTCGCAATCCTCGGCGGAAAAGGAAAATACCTTGTGTTTGTGTATCTCGGCCTCTGGACAATTGTCATGAGGCTTTGTTGTCGCCTTTGTGTCCTGGCACTCCCATTGTCCGTCTCCAGTGTTTCGAACCACTCGAAAGCCATTGCAATCTGATTTGTGGGCGGACGGACGGGTCGCAGAAATCGCCTTTGACCTACGACCTCGGCGTTTTTGTCAAAGGCAATTAGGATTCTTTGACCCGAAGGAAGGCGTGTGCAAAGCGGTTTAGGACGAAAGATCTGGAACTCGGCCGGTTGATCTAGTTAGCGTTTGCAATTGAGCCAAATTGGGTTACCCCAGCGGTTTGCCAACATATCTTTCTGGCATTTTTGACTTTGTCACCCGTCCCGTGTTTCCATATCCGATTTTGCGGTTTAGTTCGTGTCACGTGTGGGCGTGTCGCACGCTGATTAGCCTCCCAAAGTCGCTTACTTCTTCGGGATTTATGTGCGGACCTAGAACATTCATGCATTTCTTTTGCATTCATTAAAGGAAGGGAAACCAGAACGTACAACAAAAAAATACAAAAGCCGTCTCGACTTTGAGTCGTCTGCATCAAATCAATCAAATTGATGCGCTTCGATCGGGGAATATTTAAACTAACAAAGTTGGGGCCTACGATCGATGGTCTGCTTCCGAAATGCCTATAATCAGGGGTATTTTAGGGGTATGTTGGGCTTAGAAAGATATACCTATAGTTATTCGATACATATGTAGACAGAATTGTATAATTTTAGGGATGTATTGTGCTTACAAAGAATTGTTTAAATGTTGTAGTCTTTAAAGTAAATATTTTTCTGTAAATATTTTGTTATTTCGAATAATTCAATGCAAATCAGATAGCAATCTATATATAATCTATTATATTAATATTTTTTGCATTTATATGTGTAATACCTTATGACTGTTCCCCTAAAACAATAGGTATCTTGGAGTCCAAGTTCTCGACGTTCTTCCATCAGGTTCTCCATTGAATGCTTCTTCTGTTTTAGCATAAAAGCAATCATAATCCGCACACACTGAGCGCTGACAAAAAGTTGTCAATTAGGTTCATCAAGAGCGCATGGCAGACCCAATCTCAATCCCGAAAACCCGATCCCCTGGGTTTATATACATATGTTAATGCAACCTGCATGTAGTCAAATGGAGCAGCCACTGGATCCTCCGCTCATCTGACGGTTGTCTTCAGGGTCTTCCGTCCTTAGTCTTCTGGAGCCTCGGTCTTCAGCACAGAAAGAAATACAGATGCTTTTCCATTTGATAATATTCACAGGACATCTTTGATATTGGAATGGCTCAAATCGTTTTGACGGGTGAGTAAATTAAAGTTTTTAAATGATCTTTAATTTTTTTAGTTCTGATAAACCTGCTTTGTATAATTATTAAATTGATATCACAATTTTTTTTCCCAGTGTGGCTATCTTCTGAATGTGGATGTCGTCACCACCCAGGCAGCGAGCGCATTTATTATGATTGCATTTTGGCCAAAAATGTATTTTTTCCCCCGGACTGCCGATGTTGTTATTGGTGTCCCGCTGCTTAGTTAAATGAGACATCAGTTTGGTTTAGTCCCTGGTCCTGGGATTCTCGACCCCATCATCCGACAAACTGGATTAACTTGGCTACCGGTTGGTATTGGCACTCCTTCCCATGCCCCATGCCCCATAAGTGTATTCCCCCGGCTCATTTGGGTGGGCGCACTTGCTCTTGTTATTGTTGATAATGATGATGTTGAAGCCGCTGTTCCCTGGCTGTTGTTGTTTTTGCATGTAATACTCGAAGGGGGAAAAATCCCTTTCGCCATGAGATGAAAAAGGCATCCACTTCATGGCTCCCACAACTCGCAAGACTGTGAGAAAATAAAAAAGGGAAGCTGCAGTTTTAATGTCTTCATTACGCGCTACCCGGCGAAAAAGACAGCAATATGTGGAGAATATCGAGAGGACCAAGTCTGCTATATATTGTTTATTTATGAATGTCATTCAATTTATTATATCATTGTATATTTCAGCCGAGTTGCGTTGAGAGGGAAATGAACGCACAGATCTGGAATCTCCTCTGTCCCGAGTCTTCAGTCTTCAGTCTTCGGTTCTCGGTTTCCAATCTTCAGTCCCGTCTTCGGAGACTCCAGACCCGAGACTCCAGAAGAAAGGGCGCTGACCAGCTATCGAGCAGCATCATCATCATCGTTCTCCTCCGCACTAACGGGCTTTTGTGGCAGAGCCTCATCGTCTTGTCTTTGAAGCTGGACATTTCTGGACATCGGTTATCGTTCTGCCACAGCCATTTGCATCACTGACCAGCCAAATCGGATCGAAGCTGCTCTAAGCTGTATAGGGTATAGTGGGATCTATAGGTATTATATTATATAGGAATTCCCCAAAATAATATTGGAAAAACCCGTATAACAATCTACAGTAACATTTAAAGTACAGATACTATTTTCATATTGAACGTTAGCTCAAATATGAAATATTTCATGTGGTCTTCCATCGGAATACACTTTCAAAATATAGTATATAGGATGGTTTATCTTTGTAAAAACCGTCTACTTTATCATAATACACGATGGTGTCAATTTTCATAACGATCCCGCGATGGTACAATAATAGAGCATCCTTCAGTCACCTATTCCGCCCAAAAATCCACGGCACTCTGCGATTTAAACTCGTTTCTCTTCTGGTTAGTTGCTCGTTTAGCGCAATGTTCTGATCGCTGCCGCTGCCCGATTATTGTATATCATCATGCCGGCGATTCTTCGATTCGTTTCGATCCGTTCCGTTCCGTTTCGATGCGGTTCCTCGATCCGCGACAAGTTGTCAATGTTTATAAGTCCGCTGTATATGCGGCCTCCTCCCTCGCTGCGACTGTCGCTGTATTGCATAAGATAATTGGTGATTTTCATATCGATTTATGCATCCGCTGCTCCAACTGCGACTGCGCGACTTATTCCCTTGGTCCCGGTCACTTGGCCATTTAGCCAGTTAAACATTTTACCATTTGGCCATTAGAGAGCGTTTAACGCTCAGCGGGAGCGGACCAAAACAATAATTAAATCATAAATTTTCATGCTTAGATTCTGAGGGCAAGTGTTGTCCCGCCTCC